CAGCCTGATACCTAATACCTAATACCTGATACCTGCAGCCTGCTGCTGATCCAGAGCCGCCTCGCTGGCAGCGGGACAGAGACGGACCAGCTAACGTACAGTCAGCACACATGGCTTCACCTCGCATGAGCAGGGAAGAGGCCTCATCGACAAACACAACACACATCAGATCACAGCCCTTTTGTCACTGGTGCCTCGCAGATGCAACAGTTAATAGTCCTAGAAGGGAGCCGCAGGCAGCTGGACTCATCTGGAGGACGGACATGAACAGCAGCAGGTGACTATTGTGGTTCTAAACAGAACGTTGGCTCGTCCTTTTCTTCACGTTACACCGTGTGCTAAAACAAATGCGTGACTCAACACGTCTCATCGTCAACAGGAAGCAGCAGCCTGTTTCTACTCACCGAGGCCCGGCGGGTTCTCAGGACACGGCGGCAGCGGTTTGGGAGAAGGCGTCTGGTTGCTCTCGGGCTGCATGCTGGGCACCAGCTGGTCACCTGTGGCCAGGTAGCTGGCTAGCGTGGTGTTGGGCCTGGAGAGGTTGTAGTAGTAGAAGTGGTGCCCACCGCCTGCTCCGCTCACGTTATTCCTGGATCCGTTGCGTCCGTTGTTGAAGCGGCTGAAGAGGTCGAAGCGCTGCGAGTAGACGTCGAAGTACAGGATCATCATGATGAGGAAGTGGAGCAGGCAGAGCAGCAGGACGCCTTTACAGATGCGCTCCAGAGTTCGGCCCAACATCAGCCGGGTCATGGCAGAGGAAGATGGCCGTCCTGCGACGGCCGGCCACGACAGCGCTGGCGTGGCGCGGCTACGGGCATGCGCTCATCCCAACGGTTACGAGGGTAATATCATCTACTGGTAGGAGGACATGTGGCGAGCCGGTACCGAACTATCTGACTTGTGCGGGGGTCATGGGGTCACGGACCGGGACGGGGACGCAACAGCTCCAGAAATCTGTGTTGCCGGCTCGTGGTGCGTCCCCAGACTTCCTGCATGACAGGAGAACCAGCCTCTGTACTGGAACCCCGACACCAGAACACAAGCTTAAAACAGCTGATATGTTAATATGAATATGGGTGTAAGGCCTTTGTGTTAACGATGTGTTCAGGTCGTCGTCGTCCAGGTTCAGGTTGTGGCTGCAGCTCAAATAATCCAGAGAGTCTGAACACACTTAAAACTGTTGATTAATACTTGATCCCAGCGACGGCACAAACATTCATCATGTGGAGGCTCAGCTGTCCATCAGAACCGCCTCCCTCTGCAGCACCGGGCCAGTCGGACTTTTGTCTTCACTGGTAAAGCTGGAAAGTCTGAAGCACCTGGAAAATAAAAGATAAGAAAGAAATAAGTTAGAATGAAGCCGAGTCAATGTTAAATGCAGTTTAATTACACTAATTTATCAAATGTTTCCCTAAAAGGACGCTCTGCTGCTAAACAGTGTTAATGTTCAGCCTGCTTGCTTAAACCGGTGCAGGTGAAGTGCCATTAATTACCGCCGTGCATTTTAACTCAGTACAGTGACTCGTTACATTATTCGCTGTATAAAATCGAACCCAACACCATCGATCTCCCACCGGCCCGTTCAGTGCTCAGTGACCTTGTTCTCATCCAAAATGCCTGCTTGAAACGCCGTGAAATAAATGTAGAAGTTGGCTCTCGACAGAGAAAGAAGCACACACCAGAATTTAACAAAAAAAAAAAACAACAAACAAAAAGAAAACAATAAAGCGTCTGCAGACGCTAACAAACGAGAAGCCTTGACTCGGGCAGTTCAGCCAAATTGACATGCCAAGTCAATTTTCCAGTCAAGTGGTTTAAAAAGCGTTTATGATAGAACGAGACGGCAAGTGGGAATACACAATGCAGTGAAGATACGAGCAGAGCGGAGCACTTAGAGCGTTCCCACAGGCCGGGCTTACTGTAGGTTTATGGCTTTTCCAATCAATGAGAGAAAAGAAGAAGATGAGGTTGAAGTAGACGATAAAAAGCCTGAATGACATCAGATTCTCTGATGAAAATGCAAACGGATGGGGAAGACACAGAGAGGCATTAATAGATATGTGTACACTAATGGTGGAGCAGGATGGATTCCTGCACCGGCTCGGTTTGCTCCAGCGGTTAACATCCCAGCTGTCCTCTGGGGAAACCGCTCGGCTCCGGCAAACGCTGGGTTTTCACAAACGCTTCGGCGTGTCGGTGACAAGACACACGAGTCCCGGTCCCACTGAAGATGGAGGAGACGTTAAGGCCACCTTTCATACTGAACCTTAATTAATACCACCTCACATCGTATCACAGCAGCACGAATGCGACAAACACGTCTTCAGGTCCAGAATCCATTTGTTTCCTGAACCACAGCTACCAGACACAGCACGACACTTCAACACACGACCACTGAGACGAGGCTCGAATACACACATCTGATGCTGAATCCTTCAAACTGTTTTATGTGACCTAAAGCTGCCACTGAACCATCAGAATCTTCATTTTATCACATCTCACCTTGTCTCTATTTCCTTCACTATGACATACAACAAACTGAAATGTAAACCTTGCAGACACCTTCTGCCAACCAGCCAAGGTCCACTTTACATCCACATCTGTCCAGTCAGACTCATTGCATGGATTCATAATCACAGCTAATAAAACATAATGTGATGGAAGACAAAGCTATCGCCATAATAATGCTTCAGATATACACGTTGCTGTGAAGAAGCACCAAACTGTCATCAGTGTGACCCGTTCAGTCACCGACCAAACATGAAACACGGTCACCATCTTCAGCTGATTAATGACCAGAAAGTGTTTTTTAAACAACATCACGACGCCTCAGTGACGTTGTCCTTCAACCTTTAGCGTCTAAAATGTCACTGCTTCATCATTTTCTCTCAACATTTGCAAAAAAGTTTGTGATGATTAGCAAAGAAACTCTGGAGTTACGTCAGCGTGACCTGAGCTTTCACTCGTCTGTTCACCCTCGAGTCGGAGAGAACGTTGGGGCCGAATATCAAGAAGTTCCCTCGAGGTGTTCCGGAGATATCACGACCACGAGACGGTCGACCTGACGCCGTTAAAGCCTCCGAAGGCTTGAACAGCAGCAAAGCTTCCAAATCCACGCCAATGAGAAGCTGGAATATCTGAGTAAAAAATTACCCCAACGGCTCATTGATCGATCACTTCAGGTTTGTTGCCGTTTGTCTGGTTTCATTTGAACCGACATCATCGCCACTGAGTGACTTTAAAGCATCTACAGAAACTGTACAGAACGTTTCCAAACAGCCCAACGCCGGCCTTTTGGGTGAAACGCTGCACCGGCTGCAGGTTTCTTCTTCTGCTCCTTGAGGCAAAATTGAACAAATTTAAACACATGTTGGGTGACTGGGCTGATGGCTGCTGCCTGTCCAGATAGTTGGCTGCCTCTTGCTGCGTCTGGCTTTTGTCTGTGGGCAGCAAAGTGGAGGCTGCCAAGACCGAGCCTCCAGGGTGTGTGTGTGTGTGTGTGTGTGTGTGTGCCAACTTAATGAGATGGATTTCTGCTGACCGAAGGACCCGGACACCACACGTCAGTCACACCATAATGCTTGTGCAGGTCAGGATTTATTTCCCGGCCGTGCGGCTGCTCAGCGACCGAGCGAGTCGGCACGTAACGAACGAGGAGCGAATTTTTCAAAGTCGGACAGATGATCAGTCAGTCAGACGGAGGAGCTTCGGCCCGTCTTCTCCCTCGGCTGCAGAGCTCGGGTTCGCCACCGGTGTCGGGCGGGTATCGAACCGTTTCGGAGCGAAGCGTGGCGCCGCCGAAAACAGAAGAATCAAACCCGCGGACGGCACAGAGAGCCGCTCAGGACTCAACAGAGATCAATGTGGACAGAATGCACATCAGCGCTTCTTCCCTCATGTGGTGCACGAACACAAAGCCTCACGGCCGCTAAGTCCAGCCGCTTGGTTTGCTAACACTTCGCTCAACTGATTTTTTCTCGAGACAACAAGAACAAGTTTGTTGTCTGGAGAAAGGTCAAACAAAAGAGGAAATTTCTCTCCCACTCACATCGTCTGTCTCTCTCTGGGACCAGGGATTGTGCACAGCGCCCAACTTGATATGCAAACGAGGGAAGAAGAGCAGCAGCGAGGCCACGAACGAAGGTCTTCAAATGTTCACAGAGAGATAAACACCACAGAGAGCGAAAACGGGGAGCCGGCAACAGAGAGAGCCGGACCCTTTATGTAACCGGTTTATTCAAGGATCCTGTAACTCCCTTTTTAACAGCAGCGATAAATTTCATAACAGTCCCCGATCGCATCCGCCAGAGGAACCCGCAGAGAAGCGCCATGAAAATATGTGGAGGGGAATATAACGGCCCGTTTCCGTCCTCGTTAAAGTTTGAAGGCTGCCTCTAAATGAGCAGACAAAGACTGGACGGTCCAGATGTCCCGAGGAGAGAGGGAACCACCGCCATTAACGTCACCGCCATCCTCAGAAAATGTGAGCGGTCCGACGTCTTCATTCCTGCTTCACCACAGCAATCAGAGGGCACGCCGGCGTCTGTGTGGAGCTGCAGCCTGATTGGTGGAGGTTAACGAGCGTGCTAACTCGCTGTTCAATGGCTTGTGGATTAATTATAATACTGCCAGGGAGGGACTGTGAGAGGCTGCAGCCACACTTAAAGAATCCAACACCTCGACTACCACGGTGGTCGCGTGGAAAATTACTGACGCTGAGCCTGAAGGTCTTCTGGACCCTCCTAAATACATGCACTCCAATTTGAAGAATCCTCTGAACCACATAACCTGGTGCATCATCTTCAAAAATAACTTAAAAATCACCAGAAATGATCCATTTTCCAGCCGTCCTTGAGCTGATGACCCGTGACGTTGCCGTCCTATCAGAAACCTCAGCTTTAAATTGTGATTAGAAAAATTCCTAAAAACAAACGATTTGCTTTAACCGGATTCTGTAAATACTAAAAATTCTGCTCTGCTCGGGGCGACCGTGAAGCAACGCGCCGCTCAGCTGTGACCAACAGTCACGTGACAAAAACTCAGCGATGTTTTGTAACCGGGTTGAACTGCAGGATGTGTTCAGACTGAGCAACGAGGTGACGAACATTCAGCTGCTGCTGTTTTTCCTTCATGATTGACGACACTGCAGCTGCATCATCCTGCACTAAAGACATTTCTGAGCTCTCTCTTCTTCCAGCCGCCGCTTTGTTTCCATACAGATGCAGTGAAAAATGAGAGCACAGCGAGCGAAAATGTGAGCAGAGAGAGATAGAAAGAGCTGCTCGGAGTTCAGTCGGTGACAAATGAAACCCTAAAGAGCCACTTGGATAATCACAGACTTCATCACAGACAGCGTTTCATCATCGCACCATTACAAGCAACTAATTAAGTCCAAGTAAAGGGAATTTTTTTAATCCATCAGTTGAACGATTTTCATCCCTTTCTTTTGTTTTATTCTGGATTTTTTGGCACCGGATGCCAGACTGGAGCCCAACCGCTCCTCTTAACACCACAACAGGATAAAAACTCAGAGGTTTTCCTGCTCGATCGCGACTCACTGCAGGTTTCCAGCTGCTCACGCCTCAATCCAGCATCTCAACCCAATGCCAGGTTTCCTTATTTCAGAAATTTCAAAAAGGTGAGTTGATTCTGTGAAGAGCCACATTGATGGAGAGCTGAGGACCTCCAGTTCAGCATCTCAATGACCAAACTGTGATCGTCATGCTGCTGCAGGGGGTCCAACATCCATC